AAAAATAAATTAACTAAAATTTTTAAAAATAGATCGTTGTAGATTCATCAATTAAAAATGGTTTGGGATTTGAAATAGTTGAATAATAGATTTATTTAAATTTCTCCCATAGACAAGTCAATATTTCTCCCAAATCCTGTGACCACATGGATAGATCCTTTTCCAAAAAATACCTCTGGATATTTTTTGGATCTGCTATGAATAATGCGTTCATAATTTATTTGAATGTATCAGCCGATTCTATTGTAAATAGACTATTCAAAGCTGTTATGTACAATCTTATTTATCTATAAATCTAATATTTTTGCATAAAGCTCTAATGTTAATACTACTATATAAATTGTTGCTGCAAAGCTGTAACATTACTGGGGTCATCTTAATCAATGGAATCACAAAGCAGCATTTCATTTAAAAGTTTCTTTTTACGCGTTTGTGTGCATAATTCGTTTTTATTTGAACATTAACAGCTATTACTAATATATTTTCTATTACCATGCTAGATCGTATCAAAATAGATATTAGTATAGCATTCTGGATCTGATAATGGTTTAAAGTGGAGTCCAACCCAATGATTGAATCATACCCCATGGATTGCAAAATATCTATGTTGGAAAAAATACGGATATATAGTTAAAAATGGACTAGTACCACTATAGATATCTAAAACAATTTTTCATGTTGAATTTTGTATCGTAAGCAGTTAGGGATGTGGTGTTAGTGGTCATACCAGTTAATGTTTATATATAACCGTCAGGAAATATAAATCCTTGTTTAATAATTTGCAGTGTTTTTTTTTTTTTATTTTGACTGTAGGAGGAAGACGGTGAATAGGATAACTGATAATAGAAGTTTTAGTATATCATCCAAAGCAGGCTATTTACATGCCCCACGGGAAATCATGGATATACCAAAATAAATATATTAATAAAGGAAGGAGATGGTCCGGGGTGGCGGACATAAATACTCTAAATAGTGGCAAAACTATTTTTATTGAAAGCCAAATAAAATAGTTTTGCCACTATTTAGCCTATTTATGACCGCCACCCCGGACCATCTCCTTCCTTTATAATGCAACGGTCAACTATTAAATATTCAATAAATATATTAATATTTAATTCTTGCTATAAGTGCCATTACAATTAGATTTTTCCAAATTAATAAATCCCTACTCTTTAAAAATTGAAAATATCAATACATCGAATTACTATTTCTATATATATCATAAAATATTAAAATGATATAAATCGGTTTTATATTTATGTTTACTACCCTACCCGATTCACTTGTAAGGGCTAAAAATTGCCGCTCGACAGGCCAGTATTATTACTAAAAAAACTAAGAATTCAAGCCTTTTGGGATAAATGGCTATTTTATAATCTCCTTTGATATGTGCAACAAAATTACCCAATACACAGATATTATTGAATAAATAATAGTTATTAATTAACTGTTTTCTTTGCGTATAGTTAAAAAAAAAAAGAATGAACATATTTTTAAAAACAAATGGTTCCATTATATAGCAATAATTTTAAACCTTTGAACAAAACGGTCAGTGTCCAATACATTGATACATAAACAGTGCGAACAAAATTTAATTTAGAATATAATCCCATCTCTACAATCCCATCCGTAGGTTAAAGCGGCAATGGCCCCGACACCTTTTGTAAATTTTGGAGTTCTAGCAATGCCCAGATTCTCCACTCAATTCATGAGTGTCTGCGACAGTAGGCCTTACTCTTACTCATCCTCCGCTGGTTTTAAATACCATTGAAGTGGTTGAGGAAGAAATGCCTAAGCCTCGCTTTTCCCTTTATATGTGTGGGGACAAGATTGGTTCGGAGTTTCCCTGGCTGATTGTAAATAGTGAATGTAGGTATGCTTGTATCTAAGATTTTTTTTTCTTTTATCTATATTTTTACTAATTTATGTATATATATATATATATATATATATATATATATATATATATTTTTTTTTTTTTTTTTTCGGTTTACTCTACAGACCTTGAAGATCTTTGTCGAGATGTGGTCTCCCAGACCACTTAAAATTTACAAATTCTGAATATTGACAATCAACTTAGTAATTAAAATAAATAGTTTTATCCCATTTTATCTTCTGAAAGAAGTTTCTGCTTTCAAACTTCTTAAACTGAAAAAAATAACATAATGGTGCTTTTATATAACTTCATCCATATATAACTGTTTTTCTTACTTTCCTACCTCCAATAGGTAAGGAAAGTATTGCGATTGGGTTTTCGAGAAAGTATTTCCGATTTGCGGTATTCTACGGATCTTTACGTTTCAGAGCTCTCTGTTAGGGGTATATATATATATATATATATATATATATATATATATATACATATTTTTTTTTTAAATACCTTTTAATGTGATTAATTTATAATGTATTTATTAATTAACATTTAAATTGATTGAAAACATTGCTAGGATTTATATATTAACTTAATTAAAACACGATTAATTGCATTTATTATTGTTTCCTACTCTACTTATAATAATTTTTAATCAATTCAAGTAATTCTTTGACAAAATCGTCCAGAAGTTCAATTGATGATGAAGTGCGGTTTTCATCTGTCATTGCTTAAATGTTGGAAACCAAAGGATATTAATGAGCTATTGATAGTTAAGATAGTACAACAATTTAAGATTACAATTTAATTTAGTTTAGATACGAGTGTTTCAAGATAAAAATTAACGCGAATTCTACATAAAACCATTCTATTATTTTTTATTTCCTAACCTCCTTTAAAGTATTAAAAAAAAAAAAAATGTACAGTAAGTTCAAGTCAAAGGTCTTAGTTTTCCAAAGGCATTCTAAATGTACTATGGCGCTGATGCATATCGCAGCGTTATTGCCAACCGTTAGTGATTATTTATTTTGCTGAAACTGCTCGCGGTAGCAGCAGTTAAATTCTCTCTTACTGATCATTATAGTTTAAAATGAATATTTTAGGCATGATTTAAATGATATATACTTGTACCAGAAATACCTACGGTAGTGGAGTTTTCGTTTGCTTTAATCAACACACGCATTTCAACCTTCTATTTCAAGGTTGAATAGAAAGGTTAGGTTATGTCTATACAATGCAGAGGAATGTAGGCAATCGGTAGGCAATTAACTCCAAACGCTTTTTCGAGTCCGACTTAGGTAGTTCGAGACACCCTTACACTTTCAGTCAAGGAGGGGAATAATATAGGTGGTTGAGAGTGAATGCTGACCACATCACCTCCTTGTAAAATCATTTATCAAGAAACAGGTCTTCCTCACCTAGTATCGAACCTAAAACAGTAAGGGTTCTAAGAAATCCCATGGGTATATAGGTAATGATTTTTAGCAATGTACTATAATATTTAATTTCAAAAAAATCTTTTTGGCACCTTTGATTGGAAATTTACAATATAATTCCATCAATATGTAAATGAATTGTTTTTGATAACTCGCGCATAGGCGAAATAAAATAGATCACAGATGAATCTACTTGGTAGGAGGGACTTTCGGGTTGAAGCCCTCCAAAATGGTAAAATATAACCATGTTTTATGAAAAAAATTATCTCTAAAGGTCTTATTGTTCGTCTAATTATAGTTTATTGAGCTTGGAGAATCACTTAAAGACCATTTCACATAGGTAGTTTTTTTCTTTCTTCCGAAGTATAATATAAGACCTAATATTTTTTTTATTTTTTATTTGGGTTTCATACAACTTAAGGAGTCATATCCCCAACACCCAAAAGCCACTGCTCCCTGTCCATCCAATCTCCTTCACGAAGCACTCTGGCTGCCATGCTTTCCTCCACGTCCTCTGTCCATTTCTTCTTTGGCCTTCCACGCTTCCTTCTTTCAGGTGGCATATAGTTATAAATTTTCTTTGGCCAGCGGTTCTCATCCATCCGCATTAAGTGGCCATACCACTTTAACCGTTTGGTCCCAATCAGGTGAAGGATGTTCTTTTGGCATCCGACCTTGTCTCTAATAGCTGCGTTTGGGATCTGCTCGATTCTGGATATGCCACAGCTTCTACTCCAGAAATCCATTTCCATGGAAAGCAACTTATTTTCCATCTTTTTTGTCAGTGTTCAGACTTCTGATCCGTAAGTGGCTACGCTTTCTACAAAGGAATGGTATATCTTCTTTTTAGTTTCTAATCTTATTTCTTTACTCCATAAGGTTGAATTTATCGAACTTATTATTCTTTTCCCTAATATACTAATATATAGACCTAATATACTTACACACAAAAAAAATTGTTTCGGACTGAAGCCTCCAAAATTAAATCCTGGATCAGTTAGTAGAATAAATCATAGTCAACATCCAGAGAAGGAAATATAGATCATCAATTTAATTAAATAATAATGTAATCAATGGTTAAGTAAAGCGTTTTTAAAATTTAATTTATATTAGTTATTAATTTACATATCTTTCTAATTGAAAGATTTTGGTATTTTATATTAAATTTTAAATGTGTCCTATTTTAGAAACTTAATTAATTACTGTGATTCGATATCACTTGTAACACATTAATAGACAGTATTGCGAGATAATAAACAGTAAAAAAAAAAAAAAAATCAGCATATAGTTATCTTTCTCTATACACCTTATCTGTATAGTTCAGTCAAGGAGAGCTTGAGTGCCCACAGTATTTTTTTTCTAATGTTTTCAAAACTATTTTGTTATTTTAAGAAGAAAACAATAAGACATGAGATTTCCGTGAGAGAATAATAGTAATATTTACTATTGGTTTTACAGCGCCTAAGAAAGTAAGTCGTTTTAAATAAAGATTACGATATGGTGGTACTCAGTACTGGTCAATATATCTCGTAGATCTCTACTAAATATTTACAGCAGGCATTTTCATGCTTAGAGCCATTAAAATAGTGCCTAGAAGAATGTGAAAAATGTAAACAAAAGTAAAAAAAACAAAAATAGATATGAAGAAGAACTATAGCTTTAAGAAAGTTAAGAGCTGAAGCTGTAAGGTTATGTTACCTCTTTGCCCGCCTGGGATTGGGCGGTAGGCGTATCCTGTACGGGCGTGCATGGGTTTTCGAGGAGGATCGTCTCCTAGGAACTGTTTCCATTGGCGGCCGGGGCCGAAGCTCCGGCGCTGGTTGGCTGGGCTTAGGAGGTGGTGGGCGGGGCCGAAGGAGGGCCCACAGCCCAATCAGAATCGAGAACATCAAACATTCAGTTTCCTTCGCTCCTTCTCCTTTCTTTTCCCTTTTTCTACATTCCTATCGGTATAAAATATCTCTTATAGGATATTATCATAATATAGCAGTCCTTAATTCTACTCTACAGTTTGTTTACAGTGTATTAAACATTGTTTGGTGCTCCGAAAAAATATTTGTTTAAGAAAATTCACTTTATTTGTTCGAGAAGTTGTTAGATGTTTAAATTGACAAAGACAAAGAACAATTAGTTTTTAAATTGAAGACAAATATTTAGCAGTTAATTTTTTTCTTTTTCTTTTATTGATGTATTTTATACAAAAGAGAGTAATTGCCAAGCATATAAAGAATGGATATTATGTGTAAGAAATAATTCATTATCGTTTATTTTTTTCATTTTTGAGCGCTTCAATACAATGATACTTTTACTAGAACGGTTACAAATTTTAAAATTAATAAATTTAAGAAACATTGATTATTTTTTTGTTGAGAGAAATAGCAGTAACAAATTCTTCTCTTAATAAATAATTATTATTGAGTTTTAAGTTATATATCTACTATTTTATGGTGTATTTTTAGTTTAAAAAATAATTATATTACTGTCGTGTGAAGCCTTTAGGCTATAAAGTTGGATAAGTATAGTGTTAATCAAATGGATGCTCTAGGATCAAAACATTTACTTGATACATGTTATGACATATTTATTAGACTTTCATGAGATTTCTGAATAATGGCTTTAATATTTCCAGTAAAGAATTACAAAATTGGATTGTATAATGAAATCTTAAACTTATTGAATTATGATATGTAATTAATGATAGATGGTTTGGAATAATGTCTTCCGGGTGTGTTGTTGTTAAAAACAGCTGTTTAATGAACTGTAAGAATAAATAAGGACTGCTATGATAATTACTACCGACAAGGATTATATCAATATGAAAAAAAAATACTACATTTTCATTTTAGTGGCACATTCTCCAGTAGGCACTCTACCATTTTTCTAAATTAGCCTGACTAAAGCTGTCAATGAATTGTAGATATTTTCGAAATATAGATCCACGGTTCTGTATTAATCGGGCAAAGATAAACACATTACCATTGCGATAGAATATGACGATTACTTGAAAACAAAAGTTCATAAATCAGTTCATCATAAATGAGTATTTTAATTACATAAAATAGCTATTTAATTTTTTTGTTAGTTTAGCTAACAAAGCTACAGTTTTGGTGATAAATTATCATGGGAAAAATATATTTTTTTACTGTATAATTTATCAAAATTTCTAACTAAGAAAATAAATTATTTTAAATTTATTTCGAGAGAATTATTATTTCTGAAGATTCATAATATTTGTGAGAAAAAAAATATTGTACATATTTAAGGGTTTTTTTACAGTAAACTTTCAAGCTGAAGTCGATAAAATAAGTATTTGGTTTTGAGAACAGGAAATATCTAAGTCGATTGAAGAATATTAGGTTTTGATGGGTTGGATTAAAAAATTATCATTGATATATCAGAAGAAGTAATCACCTATTTTGATCATCTCGATTATTGGGGCAGGTTAAATCTCGATGTTGGTTACTGCAGCGTCAGATTGACCTTGATTAAGATCGATCATTTTTTAAATTTTAGTATTTTAGCTCCAAGTCAATATATATATTTATTTTTTAGTTAAGCACATGGGACACAAATAAAGAAAATATGATCGATTTCGCGAACCAAATGTAGGAGTGATAGGAGTTTTCTTAGGTATTAAAAATGATCACCCTCAGCTTGCTTCAGGGGAAGGCATACAAGTCCTTTTTGGTTAGCTGACCTTGAGTTGCCAAAATACGTGGATCTAGTCAAATTTGCCAGTGTCTTTGACCTCCTTTGCTTCCAAGAACTTCGTGGGATACTGCAGTGTTGTTCCAAAAAAAAAACTCCTATTTAGCACAAATATCTGTTGATAACCAGGTCACTTCAAACAAAAATAAGATTTTTTTACTATTTATTAGCGGTGTCTTGAAAATTCAAACGATTTCTGGGTTACCATTGGTAGACTTTTACGTTTATTTTAACATCATCTCAGAGTCAAAAATAGCTTATATTTACAATAAAATATTGGTTATTATTATAATTAAATACTATTATTATAACTGAATAACGGCCCAACGTTTGTGTTGAATTTGATATTTAAAACAATACAATGATTCTGAAATAATAGGAAATTAATCATATCGGTTGATCATTGTCAGCTCCAGACCTCAAGATTCAAGATGTCATAGCTCAGTGATTTGATTTCCAGCCTCGAGTTTGAATTGCTGAGAGTTGATTGCTGAGAATGAAATCACTGTTCATAATGGCTAGATTAGATTTATCTTACGTCAATGAGAATATTTCAATAAACAAAGAAATTAACGACTCTCTCGATATCAATGTCAATTTAATTAGTAATTTAATTTATCTTAAGATTAACTGTCATTGCTTCATTTATGTGATTGGAGAGTTCGAATTGATAATTATTTCATCAATATTTTACGACGAACATGCTGAATAAATATGTATCAAATATAAAAAATAAATAAATTGATGAAGATAAATTGGACATCGGACATATCAGATTCAGTAGCTGAGAATTCGTTATCCGATTCCAACCTTTATAAGTGACATGATGTGCTTGTTATGAACTGATCCAACACCCGAATCGTCCCGATAAAGAATTTACGGCGGAGCTCTGGATAGAATAAAGCGCCGGTAGTTATTAAGAATTAAGTTAACGGAGAAACTCTAATTGGTCCATTAAAACCAAACCAACTTAAGATAATTATATTAGAAAATAAAGTAAGATAGATTGAATTTGGAAAGTGAAAAGAGCGAAGTAAATAAGCTCATTGGAATTCAGATAGTGTAAGTAGGGACACTGCCACACCATCCGAAGATTTTTCTATTTTATTTTGTTATTTTTAATGAATGGACTAAACAAAGCTGTATATTAAACAATATTTAATAACACAATATTTCGTCCTGTAGTACATAATTACCAAACTTTTCTGATTGTTTATGGTAAAAATAGCAGCATGTTTTCCACGTTAGAGCAATTATATTGGAGCTACCGTGTGGCGGCTTTGTTACTCATGCCCTGAAACCTTAAAGTTTGTTAGAGAATTTCAATGCCTCAACTTCTAATAGGATGTGAAGCTTATTATACGGGGTTATAACGTTAAGCAGCAAGGCACAACATGTGACTTTTAGGCCAAATTAAAAAGAAAAAAAAAGTTAAATTTTTATTTTAAACATTGCATTTGAACATTTAAGGAATAAAATTATGTTTAATATGTCTAAAATAAAGCCAAAATAATAGGTCATTCCCAAATGGTTATTGAAAATATAATTATGTAATCATGCTATAAAGTTATTTTTGTGGATTGATTTTCACTATATTTCTTTATCACATAAAGATATTTTTCTTATAGATATGGCTGCATTGGTCAATATTCCGTTTAACTTTAAACATAAAACTCCCTACATAATCTGACTAAATATCGCAGAAAGTCTTTTTATCATTTCAGATCTCCACATTATGTTTTCAGAGGCGTATTTAAAAAAAAAAAATAATGATTTTAATATTGCACAATCCTATGTCGATTTAACTAAATTGTTGGATTTCTTCAATATAAGTCTCTATTATTACGTTATAGGAGGTGTTATTGATGGAAATAATATTGGCTTTAAGATTGCGTAACCCATTTTCGATTTATTTAGATTTTCTTATTGGTTCAATTTAATGCTCCATTACTATTTTTGTGAAAAATTATTTTTGAAGATAAAAATACCGATTTTAAGATTGGGTTATTTGGACTTATGGAGTTGAGCTATGGGGCTCCACTAAGCCATCGAATTTCTCTCGTATCCAATATTTACAATCCAAAATCCTTCGTAAAATCCTCACTGCTTCTTACTTTGTCATAATTAAAATCATCCATAACGACCCTAATGTTCCTTATGCTTACGACCTGTCCCAATCTAGATACCTATCCTTCCATAAAAAAACTTCAGAACCATCCAAACCCTTTCGTTTCTAAGCTTGCTTCCTATTCGATCCCTGATCGAATAGCCTCCGAGCCTTCTGAAAAGAATATGGCATCGAGATCTTCTTTTGTAAATACATTTTTAGAGTGCTATCAGTGGGTAGTTTCTCAACAAGTGGTTTCATGTTATTATATTCTTGTGTTCACATTTACTGAATGTATTTTTTTTGTAATTCAGTTGTAAATATCATAAACATAATAAATAAGATTGGGTTGTCCTTTATAGGTCTGTTACACTTTTCGATGTAAGGATAAATTATACTGTAGTGGAAGGAGGTGTTTTTGAAAATACTATCGATTATATAATTGTGCTTTCAGATATCGAATTATTTTAATATCAAGCATATCCTAAATATAGGGAACCATTATTGTGTTATACAAGTCTTAGAGTCGATATCAAATTTAAAAATAACGCCTCAGATAACATAATAATGAAATGTTATATTGAAGAGCTTCCAAAAGTTAATAAGAGGCAAGACTATTCCTTTTCTAGGGAGTTGGTAGTTGAACGAAATGTTGACCAGTGTGAACTTAGTTTATAGGAAGGATAATCTATGAACGGAATAATAGATGGAATATTCATATGATATTAATTAAAATAAAAGTTTAATTAACTTGTTTTTTTAGTTTAATATATTTGTGTCAGTATGTATATATATATATATATATATATATATAGATAATGAACATAATTCGAGAGAAGAACGTTGTTCTTCCATATCTCTATAATGTAGGTGCTTAAAGCACTGTTAGTTATTTGAACGACAATGAGCTGCGACGTCACGTTGAGGTAGTTTGCGTTGGAATTTGAGAACTCCTATTGTCTCTCCTTACATGGTCACGAGTCCGTCATACATTGTCGGATGCTTATTTCGAAAATTTCATTCCAACAAACCAATAATATTTTGTTGCTAACCTTTATGTATATGAATGGTTATAACCTGCAAAATTCTTTGTAATTAAAAACTTTTAAATTAAAGACTCTCTGAGTTAGCATTAAAAACGGTAATCATTCGGAAAATGTCTTTCGTTTTGTTTTTAAAATAATTTTTTTTTTTATAACAATCGACATGAAATAATTTAAGCATTTTAATTTAAAAATGCATCTAATATTATAATCCATCGGATAAGTTATTAAGTACTCGTTATTCTGGGACCTTGACCCGCGTAATATCCGCTATAATGATGGTCCTTATTATATTTTCAATATTTAATGAACCGTTTTGATATTTTAATCATATTAATGCCTTAATATGATTATTGAAACAATGTGACGTATTAGCTTGTGTGTAGTATATTAATTATAAAGAGAGCCCAAAACTCTTTATCTACTTTAATTTTCATTTTGTTAATATTTTATCATAACTTTTATTTCTTGCATTTAAAATTTATTCATACATTTGAACTGAATAAATTTTATTTGGAATGTATAATTAAACATGTATCTATAATTAATCAAATATATTAAGTTCCAAGTGACCTCAGTATATAATAGTTTGCAAGGCATTATGGTATACCTGGAGCGCCTGACTGATTCAACAGAAATGTTTGATAAACATTTTACCGTATTGGTCGTTAACATCGTATTGGTAAAGATTTGATATTATTTTTTGAGGTAGCCCACTACAAAATAAGATTAAACTCAATACAATGATCTTTACATTAATTTTTAAAATTAATATTGTCAATTCTGATTAACCACCGATCATTCATTCAACACGTTTTCAGTTTTTCAAATGAATTATAATTCTTGTAGGTTTTAATTTTAATAAAGTGATATTTTAAGAATATTTTTTTAAATAATAAAATGTATTATTGATAAAATGAAATCATTATATCCAAAAGTGGAACCCACAATTGAATAATAAGTCACTTGATTGTGTAGAGGGATATTAAAAAAATACTATAATGTAAAAACATTAAAACCATAGAGCGGAGAGTCTCAATGGATAAGGCACTATTCTCCTATGCCTTACGTCACTGATTCGATTCCGGCTATGACAAGTAATTATTTATTCTGTTTCATCA